AATATATATATATATATATATATATATATATATATATATATAATTGTATTATTATTATGTATATATGTATATATACCTATTATTATTTTTGCATTTATTCTTCTTTATTTTTTGATTGTTCTATTCTTTTAAAACTTTAAGAATTTCAAAAAAATCAAGTCTTTTTTTATTTTCTTTTAAATTTTATATTAGTTTAAATATTTTTTTCTCTTATTAGTTCATTATTATTTATTATTAATATATTTTCTCTTCTTATATTTTTAGTTTTTATGTTAGTTCAATATTATCTTCCCTTAATATTGTTAAATCTTAATTATTTTATATTAATAAAGCTTATTCTAGCATTATTTTTGATTTTATTAATTCCTCCTCATATATTTTATTTTAAATCTAATATTTTTATTCATATATTCATGATTTTTAATATATATTTTTATTTTATTTTTACTTCTATTTCATTTAAGTGTGTATATTTTATGCTTTTTTTGATTGTTTGTATTTCCTAGTTTTTATTTAATAATTGATTATTTAAATCATTTATTTATTGTTTTAATTTTTAAATTAAAGTCTAATTATTGTTCTTATTTTTAATATATTTTTTTTCAAAAAATATAGTATTTTTTGTATTTATATTTTACATAATTGCTTTATATTTCTTATATTTTCTATTAATTAATTGAATTATATTAAAATTAGCTAAAACTTTTAGTATGTTTTAATGCGTTTTTATTATTTTAAAATATTAATTCATTCCTCGAAATGCTTATTTTTTATTTTAATCAATTAAAATTATTTATTTTAATACATTCGATTTAATTAACTATTTTATAATGAAAATTTTGATTAATCTTAAGGTGTATAGGCAATCGAATTTATTAATTAAGAATTATTTAAAGATCTAAATTACAAATAAAATAAATAATTTAAAAATAATCATTTTTTTTATTTTTTTACTAAACTAAATTACTCTTTTAATAATTATTTTTAATATCATTATAAAAAAATGGTGCTTTAAAGTTTTTTTTTTTAAATAAAAAATATATTAATAGTTTTGTTTTTAAATAACGGTAAAATGGAGATTTAACAAATGTTTTACTTTCTGTACTTTTATTACATTTTGTTTTTTAATAGTCTATAAAGTTTTTATAATTGAAAAAAGTTTAGTTCATTTTAATCAAAATAAAAAAAAATAAGAAAAGTATTTTATAAAATATATATTATAAGTTTTTTTTTAAAAAAAAATATTATATTAATATAAAGAACAATAATATTGTAATTATAAAAATATATTTATAAATATATATACAGTAAAATATTAAGCAACTATTACTAAATTAAAAAATTAAAATTATTAATATTATTTTACTAATAATGAAGAATTAAGCCACTTTTTTATCTTTTATTAGTATAATTTAATAAAAACAAAATAAAAATAAAGATTTGCATTAATAATAGTATATAAAGAATTGTTATATATCTAAATAAAGATTATTACAAAAGTGTAATAATAAAAATAGAACTAAAATATTTAATTATAAATTTATAATTATTAAAGATAAATAAAGAAATTATATATTTTCTAAAGAGAAAAAAGAAAGTAAATGTATATATATAAAATATATAATAAAATAAATATATTAAAAAAAAAAAAAAATTATTTATATATATAAATATATATATATATATATATATATATATATATATATAATACATATTCATTATTTCTATTTTTATTTATTCATATTTAATTTATATTATTTTATTTTTAAATATTTATTATATAAAATTTTTTAAAAAATATTAATATTTTACAAATAAATATTATAATTTTTTATAATTATTATTTTTTCTATCTTTTTTTTAATTTATATATATAATAATTATACTTGATAATCATAAATTCGATATTTTTTTAAAAAACTAGAACTTACACTATTATATATTTATTTTTTTATATTTTATTATCATTCATTTATTTTCTAATTATATTAATATTATATTTTTACTTTTTTTGATATAATGTATATCAAATTATATTTATTTAAAACGAAATAATTTTTTTGAAATTTTAAAGTTTTTCTTCAATTTTTAATTTTTAATTTTATAATTTTAATTATATTTACGATTTCAATAATTTTAATTATGTATTTTTTTTAAATATAAATTAATGATTTTATACAAATATATTTTTGTACTAAAAGTATTTAAATTTTATATATTTTTATTAAAATGCTTTATTATTATTATAAATATTGTAGTTTACGTATATCAAATTATTATCTTAAAATGTGAAATCATAAGATAAATACATATTAATGCAATTTTCATATTATAATATATATATAAATAGTTTGAATTATAATGGGCATAAACTTTATTTTTGAATCTTTTATATACTTAATAAAATATACCATAAATTAACATGTCTAGAAAACGAAAAAGAGTAAAATGTTATATTACTTATTAAAGAAATTATTAATATAAGTTTATAAAACTAATTTTATAAATATTATTAATTCTTTAATTAATTTTAATTTACAGTTGATAAATAATAAATCATAATTTTATTAAGTAAGTTTAATTTTAATAAAATATATTTTTACTTAATATAATATTTCAAACAAAAAATGTTCTTCAAAATAAATAATATTCATTATTAATATAAAAATTGATATAAAAATATGTATTAAAAATATTTATTTATAGAATCAAAAACTAAAACAAAATAAAATTAAATAAATAAAGGTTTTTTTAAATATAAATAAACAATTTATGTATTTGAGAAAATTGGTTTTGTTATAAATTAAAAGCTTAAATAAATAATTTTATTATATTAAAGATAATTTAATTATAAAATTAACAATATATATATATATGATATATAAATATGTATATGTATGTATATATATATATATTTATATATATATATATATATATATATTTTTTTTTTTTTTTTAATTTTACAATTTCTGATATCTAACATAACAATTTAATTGTAATCCTTTATTAATTTTATCTTTTATGCATATTATTTTTAAAATTTGTCAAATGTTATATAAACTAAGTTTCTAAGGCTCCTTTAATATATTTATATCATTATATTTATAGATTATATTAAAAAAATTTAAAAAATCTATAAATATTATTTTTTTATATTTCATTTTTTAAAAATAATAATTAAAAATTTTATTATTATAATTTATTTTTTCTAAAAAAAATATAACTAATGTTTTTATATTTAAATAAAATAAAAGGGATAGTTTTATAATGAAAAAAAATTAAAAATTTAATTTAGAATAATTTATATATATATTTATATATAAATAGTATTATTTAAAAAATATAAAATATAATTATTTTATATTTTAATTTAATATGTATAAAAATTTATTTATATGAAATACTTTATATATATATTAATATAAAATATTATATTAAAATACATTATATTTTTTATGATCATTTTAAAATGTAAAACTATTAATTTTTTTTATTTAAAGAACTTTCTAATATTATAATGAGAATATAATTTAATAAATAATTAATTTTAATAGAAAAAAAATTATAATGAATTTTTTTTTTAGAAAGATTAATTATAAGGATAATTTTTTTATATAGAATTAATTTATATATAATATTTATTATTTTAAATTTAAATATTTATTTATTATATACGTGTAAAAAAAGGGCAGTTTAATAGATAAATATAAAATAAATGCTTCTTTTTTTAAAAAAAAATATATATATATATTTTTATATATATATTTATAAAAAATTATATAAAAAATAAAATAAAATATATTTAATTTACACACAAGTGTGAATAAAATATTTATTTATATAAATAAAATAAACAAAAACAATAAAATAAAAATATAAAAAATAAATAAATTAAAAATAAAAATATAAAAAAAAAAAAAACATATGAATAAAACAACATTCATTATACTTTCAACTCTCCTAATCTTAAGCTTTTGTGCTGAAGAAAAGGAAAAGGAAAAGGAAAAGAAGTAAAAATACGAATGCCCAGTAATCGGTATAGATTTAGGAACAACCTATTCTTGTGTAGGTATATTCAAGAACGGTTAAGTAGAAATTATTCCCAATGAACAAGGTAATCGTATTACCCCATCAGTAGTCGCATTTACCGACGAAGAACGTTTAATAGGAGAATCAGCTAAAAACTAGGCTGTAAATAACCCTACTAGAACCCTTTATGATGTTAAGAGATTAATTGGTCGTAAATTTACTGATAAAACAGTATAGTATGATAAAAAATTCCTTCCTTATGAACTTGTTGATAAAAATGGTAAACCATATATTAGAGTATAGAATGTTAAAGGAGAAACTAAAGTTTTCGCAGCTGAAGAAATATCGGCTATGGTACTTACTAAGATGAAAGAAATCGCTGAAACATTTTTAGGAAGAGAAGTTAAAAACGCTGTAGTGACAGTTCCTGCCTATTTTAATGACGCATAAAGATAAAGTACTAAAGATGCGGGTACTATCGCAGGTTTGAATGTATTGAGAATCTTAAATGAACCCACAGCAGCAGCTATAGCATATGGTTTAGACAAAAAGAAAGGAGAAAAGAACATTCTAGTATTCGATTTGGGTGGTGGTACTTTTGATGTATCTATTCTAACTATAGATGATGGAGTTTTTGAAGTCGTAGCCACTTCCGGAGACACTCATTTAGGAGGAGCAGATTTTGACTAGAGAGTTATGGACTATTTCGTGAAATTAATCAAGAAGAAGCACAATAAAGACATATCTAATGACAAGAGAGCTATATAAAAACTTAAAAGAGAAGTCGAAAACGCCAAAAGAAGACTATCTAACACTATGACTTCGAGAATTGAAATCGAAGATTTGGTTGAAGGATTAGATTTCGATGAAGAATTAACTAGAGCAAAATTCGAGGAATTAAATAACGATCTTTTCAAGAAAACATTAGGACCAGTATAAACTGCTATGGAAGATTCGGGTTTCAAAAAAAATGAAATCGAAGAAATCGTATTAGTAGGAGGTTCCACTAGAATTCCTAAAATAAGAAAACTTGTATAAGATTACTTCGGGAAAGATGTAAATACAGGAATCAATCCAGATGAAGCAGTGGCTTTCGGAGCTGCTGTCTAAGGAGGAATTATGTGCGGAGAAGAAAGCAAAGAAACTGAAAGTTTAGTTATTATTGATGCTACTCCTTTATCTTTAGGTATAGAAACTGTAGGAGGAGTCATGAGTAATATTATACCCAGAGGAAGTGTTTTCCCTACTAAGAAAAGTTAAACATTTACTACTTATTAAGATAATCAAACTACAGTCACTATTTCTATATTTGAAGGAGAAAGACCTATGACTAAAGATAATCATAAATTAGGTTAATTCGATTTATCGGGTATTCCTAAAGCTCCCAGAGGATAACCTTAGATTGAAGTCACTTTCGAAATCGATATTAATGGTATTTTGTAAGTATCGGCTAATGAAAAGTCGGCTGGTATTAAAAACGAAGTCACTATTACTAATGACAAAGGAAGACTTTCTTAAGAAGAAATCGATTAAATGTTAAGAGATGCAGACGAGTTCGCTGAATAAGATAAATTGGCAAAGGAAAAAATTGACGCAAAGAATTCTTTGGATTCTTATATTCATTAAATTAGAAACACTATTGAAGATGAAGAAAAATTAGCTAAGAAAATCAGCGATGAAGATAAAGAAACTATAAAAGAAGCCATTAAAGAAGCTTAAGATTGGCTCAGTGCTAATCCTGAAACTGATAAAGAAGAATATGATGAAAAGAAAAAAACACTTGAAGAGTAAATATATATATATACTATTTATTTTTATTAATTTATTTTTAAAATATAGAATATGTAATCCTATCATTAGTAAAGCACATGGTACTTCGGGTGGGGCTGGAGCTTAATAAGATGAAGATATGAACGAAGATCTTTGATATAAAAATTAATAAAATAAAATATTTGTTTTTTAATTTGTATTTTTGTTTTTATTATTGGCTTTTTATTTTTAAAAAAAAAATATCTATAATTTAATTTTTCTTCATTTATTAAAATAAATAAATAAATATTTATTCTTTTAGTTTCTTTTTTTTTTTTAAAAAAAAAAAAAAACATTATAGTTATTATTTATTGTTAAATAAATTATTATTTAATTTATATTATACATTTGATATAAAATTATTAATTAATTGCATTATTTTGATATCCTTGATTATACAATTAAGAAAATTATATTATTTTTTATATAAAAAAAAAAAAAAACTTAATTCAATTGTTTTAAATTATATATATAAAAAAAAAAAAAAAAAATATTTAATGTATTATTAATTAATTTTTATATATCTATATATCAAAATTAAAAAAAAATATATATTAAAAAATAAAAATATTTTATAAATTAAAAACTATTTTTCAAATGTATATTATATAATATCTATAATTAATTTCTTTTTCTTAAATTTGATTTAATTATAAATATAATTATATTATATTTCATATATAAAAAAAAATCAAATTATTATATAAATTACAAATGTAAATGTATGATTAATTATAAAAATATATATTATATTAATCTAATAAATATATATACAAAAAAAAAAAAATTAAAATAAAAGAAATTAATAAGATTTTTTATTATTATAAAAACATTTAAATACCTAAGGAATAATCAACCTATAAAATAAATATAACCAAAACAAAAACTATTAATAAGATAATAAATCATATTTTAAATATAACGATCATTTAGTTAATTATTCAAGCAAAATTAAGGCTATTACATATAATATTTATTTGGCCAATTTATTCGATTTTTTTTTTTATTCAAATATTTAAAAATTAATTTATATATATAAGAAAATTTGATTCACTAGAATAAAGAAACGCTTTAGTTTTTAATAATTCAGCATTTAAAATTTTGCCTAAAATAAAATAAAAATTAAATTATATATTATAATAAATGGTTGTTTATATAAAAGATAAAATTTGCCAAAGAAAGACAATTTTTTTATAAAAAATGAATTGTACTTTATATATTTTTTATTATTTTAAAGATATTTATAAAATAAGATAAATAAATAAAAATATTTTAAAAATTTAGAATCTGAAATTAATTTGAATACATTTATATTTAAATAGATATCTTTATTATATAGAAATATAATTTTTATTAAAATATATATTTTAATTTATTATTAATAACTTTATATATGAAATTATATTTTTTATAAAGATAAATTTAACAATTTAAAGAACAAAAAGTTAATATAATTTTATATATTCTTAAAATTAAATAATTTAATATTAAAAATACTTTGTTTATTTATAAAAAACTAAAAATCAATAAAAGAATAAGATTATTTTTGAACTTTTAGAGAATGTTTTTTTTTTTTAATTTAAAACTAATATTTAATTTATTTTAGAGTATTATATATAATAATTTGAGAATTTTAAAAATAAAATTAAATATTTTAATATGCTACATTGATTTAAATAAGAATATCGAATTTATTATTTATTTTCATAATTTAAAATTATACAAAAAAAAAAAATCTAAAATAGAAAAATTAATATTCTAATAAAATTTTTTCTTTATTATATTTATAAAATATTTTTATTTTTTATATAAATTTTTTTTTTCAAGTTTGAAAATAAATGAATTTTATGTGAATATATATTTATTTATTTATACTATAATTTTTATTTTTTTTTAAAAAAAAGAAAAAAAAGAAAAACTTAATATTAAATTAAAAAAAAAATTAAATTGAAAAATATATATTTTATAAAATAAAAAAGATAAAAAAAAAATATATTTTTAATTTAAAAATGAATTAAGAAAACAATTTATATTAAATTTTAATGTTATCTTTAGAAAAATTGGATTAATTAATGCCAAAAATTTCTGAGGATTTAACAGAAAACGAATAAATGGAAAAAATGTAAAAAAATAAATTAATATTTTCTCTAAATTTTAAAATAACTAAAAAAAATTTATAATAATGATGAAAAAATATTTTTAATAATACTAATTTATATAGAAAGCAAGAATTAATACCAACAATAGAAATATCTGATAATCTAGTTAATAAATTAAAAAAGTTAGTAAAATTTTTACTTGTTAAAAAAAGATAAAATTAATAAATGAAAGTAACATTTTTTTAAAAAAATAAATAAATAAATAATAAGTTAATAATATATCTCTCTCTTTATTATTTTTTTTTTTTTAATAAAATAAGGATATGATTCATTAAGTTAATAATTTTTCGCAAAATTTAAATTATAATTACGATTTAAAAACAATTGTAAACTAATTTCTCTCATAGCCTATGTAAATATATTATTTTATTTTTTTTAAAAGAAAAAAAAGCATTTTATTTATAATTTCCTTTTTATAAAAAAAATTAAGTACAAATTTAAATTTGGAATATTGCAATTTATTATTAGCAAAAAGTGGTGAAAAATAATTAGGAGCTTTAGAATTAAATAATAAAAGTATTTTTTTTTGTTATAAAAATAATAATTAAATAAAAAATTAAATAAATAAAAGATATAATATATAAATAAAAATTATATATATATTTATTTTATATGACTTATATTTTATTTTAATAAAAAGCTCAAGAAACAATAGCATAGAAAACTTTTTTACTAAAAAAAAATTAATAAATATGATAAAACCAAGCAATTTTTAAAATTTAAAGTCAACATATATTGCATATTTTTTTATTAAAAATTAAATATAATTATAGAATAAAAGACTTAAAAGTTTGTTTGAATACATAAATATATGAAATAAATTATAGTCTTGATTAAGATTATTGGTAAATAAATAGTGAATATGATATTAATATATTAAGCAAAACATAATTTATATAACAAGTTTATAAAGTAATGAATAAATATATATAATATTTGGTTTTATAGTTTTAATACAAGTAAATATATTTAAAAAAAAGAAATTCAATCCAAAAAAAGTAAAGGAATTTTTAAATAATTTAAATGAAATTTTAAAGAAAGAAGAAAATTAAAATAAAGAGATTAAAAAACTTAAAGAAAAATATATATTTTGCTAAAAAGCTCAAGAAATATTATATAAAAAGCATTTTTTCAGAATTATTAATTAATAAATATGATAAAACCAAGCATTTTTTAAAATTTAAAGTCAACATATATTGCATATTTTTTTTATTAAAAATTAAATATAATTATAGAATAAAAGACTTAAAAGTTTGTTTGAATACATAAATATATGAAATAAATTATAGTCTTGATTAAGATTATTGGTAAATAAATAGTGAATATGATATTAATATATTAAGCAAAACATAATTTATATAACAAGTTTATAAAGTAATGAATAAATATATATAATATTTGGTTTTATAGTTTTAATACAAGTAAATATATTTAAAAAAAGAAATTCAATCCAAAAAAAGTAAAGGAATTTTTAAATAATTTAAATGAAATTTTAAAGAAAGAAGAAAATTAAAATAAAGAGATTAAAAAACTTAAAGAAAAATATATATTTTGCTTTGTTGATTATTATATAAAAAGCATATTTTCAGAATTATTAATTGGGTATTTTGACAAAGATAAAGACAAAATAAATTTAAATATGTTTCCTGAAATAAAGAAAATAGAAAGAAATTCATAAATAAAAGATGGATTAAAATTTAATAGAATTATTTTATTTTTAAGTCCAAAAACAATAATTTAAAAAGAAGTTTTTAAAGCAGAAAGCTATTAAAATGAAAACCTGAAATAATTTGAAATTTATGTAGAATATATACAGTTTGATTAAAATAGTTATTATTAGTATATTAAATTATAAGAAAAAATTAGATATTTTTAAGATATAGAAAAAAATAAACAGGTTTCTGAATTTTTATAAGAAGCTTTAAATAATAATAACTTACCAAATTATTAATATAGTTTGTCAAATTTTGATGTTATTTATATCAAAAGCAATGTTTAGGTAAATTATTAAATGTTTTAAGTTTAAAATTTGATGAATTTAGATGATTTATAATGTTAAAATTATATTTATTATTACTTATTGCTTGAACCTTCAAAATAATTATAATAAGTTTAATAGAATATAATAGGTAGTTTTTTTTAATTTATTTTTTAACATTAAGTTAAATAAATAATAAAAAAGTTAATTAATAATAAAGTAATTATTTGGATTTGTTTTTAGGAGAATAATTAAATTTAGCTTACATAGTAGATTAATTTAAAGAAAAAATTGCTTAAAAATTTATTGTAAATTAGTTTGCTTTTTTAGATCAAAACGAATAAGTTAATTAAAGAAATGCTTTAGTTGTTATTAAATTAAAAAAAATCATAAGCATCAGATGAATTATAAATTAAAGAAAATATATAAAAAGATGTTTATTTATCAAGATGTTTAATAAAAATACATAACAATTTATTAGTTAAAAACTTAAATTTTTAAGCTTTAATTTTTTATAAAATTGAACTTTGTAAAATATATTAAAAAAAAAATATCATATATATATATAAATATATATATATATATATATATATATATATATATAATATATATATATTTATTTTTTATTTTATTTAATTTTATTTTAATTAATAATA